ACAGTAGACGATATAAAAAAATATTGATAGATATATACGGTTCCGTAGTCACGTGAACTCCGGTGCTCCAGCGACAGTCAAATTGCAATTTAAGGAAACTCCGCGTCAAGTGACGCGCGCGGCGTAGCGGCGGATTGCAGTTGTCTTCTACCCCCCTATTCCGGATGACACAAGGCCGATCAACACGACAAAAGTATCACTCATCATCAAAACTAAAAGACTCATCGCACGCACTACTTTGAAAAATAAACAAAAAAACTTCGTATCTTTCAGTGTTTTTCAAATATCTAACACGAGTACTGTAGCGTCTGATAACGTCAGAGATAGAGATATAATCAGATGGAGTATTTATTCGCAAAAATCACCGGTCGTTTTCATTTTCACTCGATGTCTGAAGCTGACCTAGCCGACCCCAATAAGGTTATCATCACTCTCAAGAATGTCGCAGTTCTCTGGCACTGGTGTGATCATATTACAGATCGATCCCTGGTTATTGAATCAGAAGTTCTTTCATGGATTCCTGTCGAGAGAAGATCTGCCGGCACTTCTTCAAAATCACGGGGATTTCCTTGTACGATGCAATGAGGTAGAGACGATTTTGTGGTAGTAATTCTTTAGCTGTCTCCCAGATAGATGGCTTTTTCAGGGAGACAAAACACAACCCAGAGAAGTCGTAGTATCAGTTTTGTACGATCCGGATGGCAAAAGTAAAACAGCTGATCAAAATGGAAAACTTGAAGCGGTATGGTCATAGACTTCTGTGGGCCTACAGAGGCATTGCCGCTCTAAGACTGCGTTCATAGTTTGCGGATGCGTCCACCAGCGACCACCAGCGTATCAGCGCTTTGAGTGTACGTCAGCGTAGGAAAGTGTAGATATCGATCCAGAGAGTGTGGTCTACCAGCGTCCGCCAGCGACCAGTCAGCGTCTCGAGGGACTAAGAAAGTGTGGATATCGATCCAGCGTCTACCAGCGTCCACCAGCGACCAGGAGTACGGTATTGTGTGATATGGTGCGGTTGCACACCATTTCACGATGCCTAATCCAGCTGTCTCCTCCCTCCTACTTCCCCATACTCTACCAGCAGTCTGCTACCCTCCTACTTCCCCATACTCTCTACTCTTGGTGGACACTGCTAGACGCTGGTAGACGCAGCCGTTCGCTGCACCGACATGTATACTTTCCTGATCGCTGATGCTGAGAGACCCTCGAAAAGCTGGTGGTCACCGGTGAACGCTGGTGGTTGCTGGTGGGTGCTGCCGCAGATATGAACGCTATACGTTTCAGACACGCAATTTCGTGGTCCAGTCAGCGTTATCGAATAAAACAAGGAAATATTTTATCGATTCACGTGATAAATTTGAATCATTGGAAGATCTTCTAACACATCATTCGGAAACACCTCTCGTTGTGAACCAGGTACGTGAGAACTAGAACAAAGATTTTGTCAGAACTAGGACGAACAATGAATCACTCCCAAGAGTAACAATAAGTCATTCCCAAGAGGATATCAACAGAAACTGGTGGAAGTCGGTTGAAGGCGATTCGCGATTCGCTGTCAAAAGCCAGATGGACTTTGGAATAGGAAGGCCCCAAATAAGTCCTCTCTTGTTCCAAAGTAAGGGCGAGGATTAATGGGATTCAGGACGAGCGAGCACAAAAGAGCAGGGAGTACGCAAATGAACAAAAGGGCGGATACAACAAATAGCGATGCGATAGGAGTCGCTGACTTTTTGGCGCAACCACTTGAGCTTCGTTACGCCATGACGCCCTGACCTTACGAATTTGGGCCGCGATACCGGTACAAGGTTGTTCGTTGCGGTCCACACTACCTTCCCCCGCACAGAGCTTCGATTCTTATACGTGGTCCAGCGCCTCCAAAGAAGGGCACTTGAAGGCAGCCCGCACGCCGCCTTCACTTGAGCCTCCTAACGCCCTCCTTAGATACCGTTAGCATTGTCGACAACGGGATGCGATGGACTGTAACTGATATCTTGCAGCTTTCAAAAATACGAGAGGATGGGCCCAACCGCTTGTGAAGAAGCATGTCGCCCTTCTTTGTCACCTGCAAGTCAAAACATGTCAGCCAAAGCGTCTTCCGGATGGAACAACTCGTCCGAATTCTTTCCAAGTATGGAGGGAGTACCGCGGTGGAACCACCGATTTCTTTGTGCAAAAAGAGGGGGTAGTGGCATTGGGAGACGGGCAAAACAACCATAATTTGCAGCGCTGTCGCGTACGGCGCACCGTGCGGTGATGCGCGGCTCGGTTAAATTCTTGGTGTGCATCTGCTTGTCGCTTTGAGCAACAAAAAATACGTGCGTTCATGCGAGGCCAGACTTCATGCCCAGATATCGATCTTTTCCACCCATTTGATGTTCAAGTTCAAGCAGTCAAGCAAGTCTCTCGCAGGCACGGCGTCGCTCTCAAACCCCTTCCCCCCAGCGCGGCACTCTAAAAACACATTCCGCGATTCCAGTCCGTGAGCATTAGGCTCAGATATGAAATGTAGCTGCTCACAAAAAAAAGAAAAGAATGTGCAAAACCGTCAACACTCCTTGAAGGTATAAGGCACGATAATTTGTCTGAAATGCTGTGTAGTAGGAAATTGGGGAACAAGTGAAGTGAAATAGTCTAAACTCTGCAAAAAAAGCCTTCGCTCCGCACGACTCAGAAAGCAATTTCGGACGAGTTTCCCGTTGGCATCGTGCCAATAACCGCTACGGTAGATACGGCTGCATGTGTGCACTCATATATCCATGCAGCCGCTTCATATCAATCCTTTCGCTCATATTGTACTTCGCAAATAAAGCGATACGAGCATCAGCATCGGTCGGACACTTTGTGGGCGGGCGGATGCGGTGGGCGTCCGGGTCGGTATGTTGCAGCTTGATAGGGCGCTATAAGGGTACCTTCCTTGAAAAAGGCGCCACGCAGCGCCTGCTAAGGGGCGCCGAATTTTGTCCTGCTAGGCGTATTGACTGTACACGTATCGGCATTACCAGTTGCCTTTGAAAAAGACCTCGAGAGAGTACTCCAAGAAAAGGGACTCTTCTGCGCAGGGGAGATGCAAAGGATGGGAAGAGAAGAATATAAGTTAGTAAAGGTCAGAGGCCGCATACGGTGTGAAAGCATCATATCACTACTGTGTGTGAAGGCAGACCACCTGCATATATCGCCTTCGGCTGGGTGAGGTATCTTCCACAGGTGACGCACTTTCGGCTTTTGATGGCTGCAGCGTCCTCGACACTCACTGTAGAACCGCGAAAGTTGAAGAATTTGCACCTGAAGAAGTTCTACTACTCGGGTGACGGCGCAATGTGTCTTTAAGATGGGCAGTATGAGCGCACCAATTAGGAGAGTGCAGTGGTCCAGCTGACTCCGCCCATATTCCCAGCGCGGAACTCCGCTCTGATACAAACTGTCGTCACCATACAGGCCAGCTTAACCGAGCGTGGAAACTTCTAATGATGATGGGATTA